GCGACTAATCTAGCATTTGGACGAGTTACGTTGCGCACACCCATGACAAGCAACGTGGATTACGGCGTAGCGGCTAGTTCAAATCCGCGCGGGTCAGTTAGAGCACGCAAGTTCCTACAACTCGTCTAGCCCACCCCTTCCTTATTCCGAGGGGACTTCTAGTTTAGGCTTCATCGATGGTTTTCTTTGCTTCTTATTTCCATTTTTAGTCAATTCACCACAACTTCATTATCAACCGCTGTGACCCCACAAATTCGACTTGGGAGTGCTGCATTAACCGCATCCCTGCCAATACACGCTGACAATGCATAGACAAAATGCAGTCGATTAAAATAACATGAGCATCTAATCTTAAGCACAAGAAAATAAGGCCATATGTTTTCACAAAGCAAGTTAATCGATGATGCCGAAACAAGGCCTGATTGATAAATAGAAAGAGCATGCCGTACTCACCACTTTCAGCTTGCCTTATAGCTTTATGACGAGAGTATTCCAAAGCACTTAGCCACTTTTGTCGATCGACGTCATTTCCAGCTTTCAAGTGAAACGTCTGCGATGACGCTGATATGACAATATTGTTCGTTATCTAAAAAAAAGTGGGTGTTTTAATGTGTCAAACATACAGCTTTTGCAATCGTAAGTTTTGTGTTTACTTTTCCAAATCGTCACCCAAATCAATACAAAAGCAATCAAGGGACTCAATAACCGAGACTAGAAAAATATCGCTAGCAAACCAAAAATTTGGAGCAATATTACGACTTTTCGGAATTTTTGGAAATAATTAGATTATTGGCGAGAAAGTGAAACGTTCCCATGCAAGTTTCATCCCAAGTTAATTGGAGGTATCTCAAGAGCCTGAGGATGAAACTGGACCGATTGCGCTTACTAATATTCCGTTACTACAGCGGCCAAGCACTGAGCACACTTATGGTTAGGGGCTTTAAAAGTTCACCTAAGTGAAAAAAACCTCCACTCATTTAAGTAAACAAATAGCCATTACTATTAAAGAGCTCCAGCCTTAAAATGCGAAATTCCCCTAGGAAACCATTCACACTAACTTGTTGTTTAGTTGACTTTCATGCTTACAGTCTGCTCCCAATAGGATCCCGAAAAAGAAAGGTCCTTAGAAAAAAAGGTAGAATGAATCAAAATTGCGCTAAGAACAAGCAGAAAAAGTAAGTGAAATTTCACAGGAAACAAAGAAGGAATTTTGACCGACCTTATCAGAGAGAATACGTGCTTCTTGAAGATTGATACTTCCCCGGCATGACTGTCCAACTTCACTGGGGCTTCTGAAAAGGTAAGTTTAGAAAAAGTTTTAAATCTTAAAAATTCCAGAATTGACAGGTGTAGTGCAAATTTCAATGTCTCATTTGCAACAACTAAAATTTTTTCCACACCTGAAAATTCGCTTGCACTTCAGGAGCAGGTTCATCCAAGGACTACATTTACAAAGTGAAATTGTATCGAAGTGGAACTGAGAAGGAAGGAAATAAGTTTTTACACACCATCAAAAACGAATCGGAAAACTTTTGCGGTGCTTTTCTCATTACCTTATCAATTTTAGTACTAAATATTGGACAGCACCATATCAAAATTTTAGAACTGTTATATGTTCCAACGAACACTTTTAATTACGCTAACCTAAGAAGTAGGTCGTACCCTAAACCGACAGCTTGTGAACCGCAAGGTTCACTGCAAAAAAGGAATCTCGGATTCGGTGAAAAATAAGACGGCGTCGTGGAATTATTTGCATTCGCTGTTCACTTCTTTTTCAACAGTTCTCCCTGATCGTGAGGAGAAAGAAAAAGAAAAATTTGAAAAAATTTTCTAGCCATAGCACATTCTCATAGCTGTGATAAGTTTTATATTAAGGTGGCAAGAATACTAGCTGCGGGAATACGCCAAATTCTCAGCATCAAAGCATGCCATAAATGAAACGATGCTCGGCGATTATGCAAAGTCGCCGAGTCTGATGTGCACCTGAGTGTTCACGATGCTCAATCAGCCGGCTGGCGGACTCATACATACAGGGGTGGCCAAAAAAAGAGACACTTCACTCCACATTTCAGACAGCATTAATCACACTTTGCTAGAATCAAATCGACTGCCCCCAACTCATATTGAAGAGCACATTCTAATCTATCTAAACCTTACATGACAGCCTTCTACACCGACGACATCAGAAGATTTTCCCACGGAAACATGGTTCGCGATACGAGCTCAACGAGGTCGTCGAAAGTGGTTTTGCATAGTCACAGCTAATGTCTCTGGGAAGCTATTCAACAGTTAATCCATTGAAGAAATTATGTAGCAGCTTCAGGCCGGAGCGATTACGGTAAGCCTCGTTGAGCTCGACGGTGACGGCAGATGACGTCATATTCTGAAGACGGCGGGGGCAGTGAAGGAGGGCCTGCTTCTGCTTACGGGGGAACACCTAAGGAATATTCGCCGTAAAACTTTCATTAACATCGGCACCCTGTGCGACGAAAAGTTCGATGATGTGCGCCATGGGCAAAGTGTCTCTTTTTTTTGGCCACCCCTGTACATACATACACGCAGTGGTCAACTAGCTCGGTAAAAAACGGTCATAAGGCCTACATAAATCGAACGCACAAACTCTTAAAGAAAACATTCAACACATTAATAAAAGATTGAGACGCAAAAAGGTTAGCTTTAGAACCTGTCACACATCGAGGAACAATTTTATGCAAAAGGTTCTACCTATGAAGTCCTTGCAAACAGAAAAAAGTTCAAGCGAAGTCAAAAACTACGAACGGTATGTTCAACACGCTCGGTACCCAAATCCAGATAATCCATTGGATCGGAACGCTGTTCCTTATCAATGATAACCCATCACGTTGCGTAATCTCCACGCGATTCTTTATGACTACCGCTATCGCTCACTGCGTCATGATAATTACCATTCATGGAAACAATCAATATTCCAGGTTTTTAGTCATAGCAAACAATAAAGAAAAATTTCGATTTCAACTGCACGATAACTTATCACTCAAGTATATAAAGATGAATTTTCAAATTCTCAGGAAAATTCACAAACGAAAGATAAAGAAGTTCGATCGCTACAAAAACAAAAATTGAGACGTTACAAATCAATAATTCGAGTGGTAAGTTTTCCGAAAAAAAAAAGAATGGATCGATGACAGCCTTTTTTTTTCAAACAGATAAGTGGGTCGCTTCAGCGCGCCTTTCAAATCAGAACACGTTATGTTGCTGAGCCCAGAAAATTCATACTTTCGACAGGAAAGTGCAAACATAATACGATCTCTGCTATATTATTCCATGGAGATTAAGATCTACTTTCTATACCCGTTTCGCAACTTCAGTAATATAATACATGACTTAAGAAAACACAAATAAACTAATGAAATCCGATGCATAGCCACCAGCATCAAAACTGACCTATTGCTAGGGAGAGAACTTCAGAAAAAAAAAGGAATAAAACTTGGATAATCAAACGGAAAAGTAGGTCAAGTCGAAACATGCAACATACTACAGGAATAAACCGTAACTTACTGATAGTGTGGATGGTGTTGGCACGATCCAGCAGCCGATACGTACACATCCGCATCATTGCTGATCTTCCGCGAGCGCCTCGACAACGGAAAATAGCACGCTGTGATCCGTTTTCGAGCTTTGCGAAGACGTCCACGTAGGCTTGCCATGCGCGCTGGTCGCCGTCGTCGTCGCAACCGCCCCGTTCGTCGATCGCCGTTTAGCACTGTGCGACGACCCGTTGCGTGTGCAGGTCGTTAGCGTATCGCCCTTATCACTCAACGCTGCTGCTGCTGCTGCTGCTGCTTTTCAACGCTGGTTCACCGCGTCGAGAGTAACTGTCACCACCACCGACGTCGCTGGTTCACCGCGCTCGCGACAAAACACGCATTCACCAAATCGGGCTGGCTCGTTCTCACGTGAACAATATGGTCGATATCTGAAGTGCCATAGTGCCGAACAAGCCTTTGCTTTGGATCAATCAATTTCGCAAAGTTACGACAGTCGATCAAGCGAGCAAACAGAACAAAGCTATCAAAAATGAAAACCAAATTTTACTGCCGAGTACTTAGTTTACTTGAACTTGGCGAAATTGAAAGTCAATCGATTTCGGTGAAAGTAACAGAAACGGGGTCGCTTTCCACGGCCAATATTTCCCCAACGAAATCTACTATTGGAGTAATACAATAGAAACGCAAACAGAAGTGGATTTCGTAGGCATGTTGAGAAAAATCAAAGAGAATTTCCATTCCCGGCAAGAGCCTCTAATGTGAAGAATGCCTCGGTATCTCATTAACTTAATGTATGCAACATCACAGACGATTCTTCTAGAAATTATGCGAAGATATGCACTATATTGGAAATAAAATTCGCTACAATAGCCTGGCTACAGAGTACAAATAACGCTATTGAATCACGGCTGCTCAAAAACAACTGAAAAAAATTCGACTAGGCTAAACAACCGCTCACGCCATGGATAGCTCCTGAACTATATTATTCGGCTGATTGCTCATACTTTTCATTTGAGGTCGGACATCAAGTCAGACTAGATTTCCAGATTAAGGATGCCAGCCAATATTCATGAAAAGCTCACTCTACGCTAACAAAATGACCCCTTTCTTGTCCGGACCACACACCGATCTGTCAAGTCCCACTAAACCAAATTTTCCTCAAAAGCTCGAAATACTAATGTTGGTGGAATCCCACAGCTCCTCGGTCGAATTGTCCTCAACGTAAGGAAGGGATGCCGGCAAAAAAAGTGTCCGGATTCGAGTGCGTGGGATGGCCTTTGAGTTGCTGGTGTTTTGTTTCTTGTTGGGTCGTTTCGCCGCCCGCCGGGCACGTTTTCTGTTTTCTGGGCGAAAGAGACACAAACGATCCAAAGTGCCTCTAGTGACAGCCCCTTGCCCGGCAGAAAGGCCATCCCCTTTAAGCTGCCTAGCAGTTCCTCGCTCGGGCAATTGAACCCTGCCACTACAATTTCAAAACTCTTGAAAAAAACTGCATTTTAAGGAGGAACTACTAGCACACTTTCATACCGACCTTTTCGTACTCGAGTTGAGTTTTGATAAGGTTATGAATGACCGTCCTGTATATTCTCGAATAGCTGTCCATCCGGCCAGGTCTCCAACGTCAGCTTTGCAGGTGTGACTGACCCGGTTGCCATGGACGAACTTGGCAGCTTCTTGATGAATCCACTTTCTGTTCTCAGGTTTCAATCTAATATAGATCTGAAAGAACAACGGAATCGCGCGGAATTATCATCAACTACACTGCCTTCTCGCCGGATGTTGGAAAAAAAAAATTTGGAAAACATACAACAAACAAAAAAAAACAAAAAAAAAAAATTGGAAACATACTATCAACAACCTTTACCCAGTTGCCCATAACCACTACCGGAGCAATGGAGACTCTGTTTAGCCTGGAACGGCGGTCAACAATGTCTGTGCAAAATCGCGCACACATCTCTAGACGCTGATTACTCCATCTATGAATAGCAAACAAGATGAGAAACTTGATTAGGTTGTTGTCCAACACGACTGTAATGCATCAGGTGATCGTGATGTTGTTTTTCTTCAGTGATGGAAATAACTGCTCGACCTGCTACTGACTGTAATTCAACAAAAGACAACTTTAACTTCAACTCCAAAATTACATTAATTTTGAAGTTTTGTTTTTTTTTTCTAAAATTCTAATCCAATATTCAGGACCCATCCATTGTAGGAGTCCGGCTTGGCCCCTACGAGACTGATCCATTTTGAGAAGAAAAAAAGGATAAATCTGCTATCACCGAAATAAAAAAACCTGCATAAAACGACCAGAACCACTGTCCATTAAGAATGTGGTAGCATAAAAATAAACCCATTCACACAACTGACAGCTAATCTCCTTTCATTTTAAAATTTGAAAAAAAGATAAGGATAAAGCATTTGCCGTTGATCAATCCCGTTTGGGATGCGGCACGCATTCTACTTCCATTTGTACATTCGTAGTGGCGTTTGAATGCGATGTGGCCTATACAATGACTTGCGGGGGCCAGCCGATGTACAAGTCAGTGTTTTTTATCCTCCAGACAAGTCTGGTACCAATTAACCGACCCCGGAGGGATGGAAGGCTTGGTTGGCCCGGGCGACTCACGACCCAGGATTTGATCCCCGGACGCGCGCGCGGTGTAGCGTGCCACTTGCCACTACACCACTTCCGCCCTTTAAAATTTACTTAATAGAAAACCCTGGAACTTCTGAACTCGAAGAGAATCTAAACCACGATTATATGCTTTCATGACAAGTACGTAACGAGAGACGACTTAATCGTTTTAATGAGAAGAAGTACGTAAAAGGACTATTAAGAGAGAATACTTCAATCGTTAACATTCATATTGAAAATTTCTTTTCTGGACACGAGCCTTCCCCTTAGTGCGCCCGAAAAGTAGTGCAACCATTTTGAATTTATGAATATGTAGAATTTGGATGAACCATTTGCCCTGCGCTGCAAAAACCTCAGCGAGTTTTCGCACAGACCACCTACTACGGAACTCTACCGAAACCGACACTGTCAAAGCAGAAAATATGTACTTATTTTAATGACACTTCCAATCACCTGTAATAGCTGAGTACTGCTGTTGAATTCGAGCAGCAACCCATCGTTGTCCGATATCCTTCATAATTGTCCATTTATTTAGCCATCCTGCTTTTTCTTCGCTGAAAAAAAAAGAATCGTTCATCACAAACTCAACATTCACAAGCTTTCCAATCTAATTAAGGGTTATTTTTACCCAAAAGGTAGCTCTTGGCAGTTCATGCTGAAGCTGCTTTTCTGCCCTTCAAAATAAATGTAACCAATCCGATGTTGTGTTAATCTATACAGTGTCTGCTTTTCATTTTTCTCACGACTACGCGAACACGAAACACAAGCGTTTCGACTTGATCAATAGCTCTGAGGCCTCTGGGATGCGCCACACCATCGAAAAGACGACGGCGATCACAACCGCGACAGGTTAAATCTATGATGTATGGATTCCTCTCACATCACGCAAAAAGAATTGTTCATAAGAAAAAACTCTCGCTCGTTGTTCACAGGCGACATCTTTCCTTGAGGAGGAAGAGATAGAGGAAGCTATCGCTCGCACCTTGGAAGATTCTACATTATACGAAGTTATACGATTCTTCATCACAAATGTTGTAATTTATCATGGAGGTTTTCTGAATTCGTCATCTATAATGGAGGTTTTCTGACTACTCTATTTGCTAGATCATCTTCGCTATGACATCATCTTTGAAGCCCGCGAATAAAAGAGGTTGCCCATTATCTCTCACTTGTGCTCGGCAGCTTATCGGCAGTTATCACGCGTGCAGTGGACATAGAACAAGCTCAGTTTGCTCGCAAGAACTACACTTTCGAGGATCAAAGAACGACCCATCATTTTCCTCATTACATTTAACAACAAGACAGGTGACTTTGTTTAATGCAAATAGATTCCATGAAAAAATCAATACCATTCCACGGATCAAAAATCATTAGGAACGTAGCGGATAAAGTCAGCACTCACACAGCGTTTTCCTGAAGTGCCAACGATGATACGGACGAGCCGCCACCTCCACGCGTCGACGATGATGACATCACTAATCGATCAACTTTCTGTTGACTTTGGGTGCTGGTGCTGCCCTTCCGGCTTCGACGTTTTCGACAAGCGCTTATGGGCCGATTTAGCGACCGACCATGTTCCTGCAACCATCACTGCACACTTGACGACAGAATGAACGGGCGCTTTTAGATCAATATTTTCTGCTGCTAGGACGATTGAGCGGAGGCGACGGTTGTTGCGGTAGATAGATTCAGTGCAGTCGGAGTAACGACGGTCGTGTGTGTGCTTGGCAGGTTCACGGGCAAGGACTACGACGCACACTCAACTCACAGCACCTGGGAATGAGCGTGCGGAAAACAGTCCCCGCCGGTGATAATGTGACAACAACGCCAGTTATAGTCTTGCTGATAGTGAACGATATGCTAATTCCCCGTAACACAGTTGCAAAGCAGGTCGCTATACATTACTACAGTATCTGTTGACTGATCACCCGGAACAGGTCCTGCTCTAGCGCTCATTTCCATAGTCACCTTTCCATCATCACCAAAGTCATCATATGGACAACTGTGTATGGTATGCTACCTAATGATTCTAATAGGAAAAGACACTTATGATGAGCAAATAGAAGGGGTTTCAATAACATTGGAAACAGAAATTTCATTAGAGAAGATGGGCGATATTCATGAAAAAGAAGCGTGCGTGGTTTCATTCTGATTCTTTTATCGGAGATTGAAAACACCCTAATGTGATGCTCGCGCCTGGGCTGGGCAATCTTACTGTCACAGCTCTCCGAACAACTTTGAAAGGCATACTCCTTATAAAGGTTTAAAGATTATCCTCGAGGGACACTTATAAGCTTATTTAGAACCCGCTTC